TTAAGTGTGGGTGATGACACAGGGCCCCATGATCCCCTATTACTCAGGGGCCCCATAAGTTTTGTCAGTCCTCCCCTGGTACTGTCCCAACTTTATCAGAAAGTCCTTGTCCACCTTTGACAGCTTATTATTGTGAACATTACAAGTAGCCGGCAACTCGGAGATCTTCTTAACCCCTCGCCCTCCTGAGGATTTACACCCCCTCCTGACCAGGCCATTTTTTGCAATATGACTCTGTGTTACTTTAACTAACAATTGCGCGGGTCATGCAACGCTGCACCCAAATGAAATTTATGTCCTTTTTTTCCTAGGAATTGAGCTTTCTTTCGGTGGAATTTGATCGCCTTTTGCTCTCTGAAAAAAAAAGACAGATAATTTTGAAAAAAAAACTATATTTTGGACTTTTTGCTATAAAACGTCCAGTAAAAAATATAATAAAATCTAATTTCGTCAAAATTTAGGTCAAAATGTATTCTGCTAAAAAAAAATCCCAATACGTGTAAATTAATTGGTTTACGTGAACGTTATAGCGTCTACAAATGGCGGTATATATACTGTATTTTTTTTTTCTTTACTAGTAATAGTGGCGAACGTCGACTTATAGCGGGACTGCGGCGGGCATTCTGACACTGGGGGGGAGGGGGGGGAACTGACTAACTGTCACTGACATCCCCAGTGACACCAATACAGTGATCAGTGCTAATAAAAAGCACTGACACTGTACTAAATGGCACTGGGCAGGAAGGGGTTAACATCTGGGGTGATCAAAGGGTTAACTGTGTGTGCTTTACTGTGTAAGCACGCTGATTTGTATGGCTCTGCTATGCAGAGCCATACAAAGCATTGTGCAGGAGCTGACAAGGGAGAGATCGGTATTTTTTTACATACAGTGCAGACTTCTCAGTGTTCCTCGGCGATCACCGGGAGCCGGTGGGGAATCCGGCGATTAACATCTGTAGCCGCCAATGGCGACGCAGGTAGGGCCTACCCGGACATACAAAATCGTGTATATATATATATATATATATATATATATATATATATATATATATATATGTGTGTGTGATCTTGCGCAGCCCTGATGCCCTGTAACAGTAGTTCTGCTATAGGGCGGTCAGGAAACAATTAATGGAAATCTTTATTGGTTACATAAATACAGGATCCATAGAACGGACGGGTTTCGGCTTAGCAAAGCCTTATGCTATGAATAGGGCTTTGTGAAGCCGAAACGCGTCAGTTTATGGATCTTATATGTAACCAATAAAGGTTTCCATTAGGAAGCTTTTCCGAGTTGCTGGCTACTTGTATTGTGGATATTTGCTGTGAGGAGTGCAAAAATTGGAACTGCCGCTATTTTATCCTCTGGGGTCTCTGCTCTCAGAAAATACAATCCAGTGAAGTGACTGGCCTCAGGCGATGCACAGAGATGAAACAAATCTACATGAGGTGCATCTGTTTATCTGCAGCCATATCTTCTCTACATCCATTCAAAGTCCAGAATGTGTACAATTTGTTTGAGCTGTCAGAAATAAGTGGGCTGGGAGCTGAAATGACACTCTGTGGAGCTCAGCGAGGAGAGTTCTGATAGCCGATTGGAGGGAAGAGACATCGTCCCCCCGAGCCCTCTACACAGGAACAGAGCTGAGGCTGTCAATCTGCTGGTGCTCCCTCCCCTGTCACCATTTTTCTCTTGGTGTCAGGAAAACATGTCAGAAGTGATTCATGCTGATAGCAGAAGAAGCAGGCAGCAGACAGAAATGACACTTAGTGCCCTGGACTGAAACAAGTACACACTATAGAGCAGGGGCGGACTGAGAACTCATGGGGCCCCTGAGCAATAGGGGATCATGGGGCCCCTGTGTCCTTGCCCAAACTCAAAAAAGCCTATGAAAAAGGTACCAGGGGCATCTCATGGGGCCCCCTACTGACCCTGGGCCCTCGAGTTTCCAAATGGTCAGTTCGCCCCTGGTATAGAAGGATAGGCTTTGTTCATATTTCATGTCTGAGGTTTACAACCACTTTAAAGCAGGACTCCAGCTGAAAAACAACAAAATAAAAATGAAGAATCCATTAAATGATAAAGTTACAAAAACTGGCTTTCGCTACAAAATTCACCTTCCATTCACAGGTGCCGTTCGTTATGGATCGCACCCCAACACACCTACGTTGCAGCACTCTGTTATGTGGGTTGCAGTGCACTAGCAAGACTGCGGCAGGTCTGATTTATGACTTGTTTTTGTGCATTAGGTAACCCATTTCAATAAATGGACTGACACATCTCCTAGATTGTAAGCTCCCAGGATCAGGCCCTCCTATCCCTCTTGTATTGAACTGTATTGTTGCTGTATTGTCTCCCGTTATATTGTAAAGCGCTGAGCAAACTGTTGGCGCCATAAATCCTGTATAATAATAATAATATATAAATCCTGTATAATAATAATAATACTACATGTGTCAATGTTCGTCCATCGAGTGTACTGCAACAGACCGCACTGGTGTGAATGGGCTTATTTAAGTTTCATTGAATGTTTATAATATATATATATATACACTATATTGCCAAAAGTATTGGCCCCGCCCTCCCAATCATGTGATTCAGGTGCTCCAATCCCCTCCATGGACACAGGTGTATACAATCAAGCCCCTAGGCATGCAGACGGCTTCTACAAACATTGGTGAAAGAATGGGTCGCTCTCAGGAGCTCAGTGACTCCAAGCGTGGTCCCGTGATAGGTGGTCACCTGGGCAATAGTCCATCCGTGACATTTCCTGGCTACTAAATATTCCACGTTCAACTGTTAGTGGGATTATAACAAAGTGGAAGCAACTGGGAACAACAGCCACTCAGCCACCAAGTGGTAGGCCACGTCACATGACAGGGCGGGGTCAGCGCATGCTGAAGCGCACAGTGCGCAGAAGTCGCCAACTGTCTGCAGAGTCAATAGCTAAAGACCTCCAAACTTGGTGTGACCTTCAGATGAGCCCAACAACAGTGCGTAGAGAGCTTCATGGAATGGGTGTCCATGGCCGAGCAGCTGCATCCAAGCCTTCCATCACCAAGTGCCATGCAAAGCGTCGGATGCCATGGTGTAAAGCACGCTGCCACTGGACTCTAGAGCAGAGGAGATGTGTTCTCTGGAGTGACCAATCATGCTTCTCTTGTCTGGTAATCCAATGAACGTGTCTGGGTTTGGCAGTTGCCAGGAGAACGGTACTTGCCTGACTGCATTGTGCCAAGTGTAAAGTTTGGTGGAGGGGGGATTATGGTGGGGGGTTGTTTTTCATGTTGGTTATGTGTTATAGAAGACACTGGTAGTGATAGCAGAATTCAGGCTTTACTTGTGTGGCTTAAATTACAAACATACAGAGCACATTTCTCAGCAGACAGATTACAGACACATTACTTTCTGAAGAGATGATAGAGAGAGGGAGGAACAAACAAGTTTTCAGATATACACAACTAGTAACCTTTAGTGTATAGTGCCATCTACTGGTCAAGTGATATTAACACACAATACTATATACAGTACATTATAGTACATGCTGTTGCATTCCCAACATTTCAGGGGTTGGGCTTGGCCCCCTAGTTCCAGTGAAGGGAACTCTTAAGGCGTCAGCATACCAAGACATTTTGGACAATTTCATGCTCCCAACTTTGTGGGAAGAGTTTGGGGATGGCCCCTTCCTTTTCCAACATGACTGCGCACCAGTGCACAAAGCAAGGTCCATAAAGACATGGAGGAGCCAGTTTGGGGTGGAGGAACCTGACTGTCCTGCACAGAGTCCTGACCTCAACCCCATAGAACACACCTTTGGGATGAATTAGAGCGGAGACTGCGAGCCAGGCCCCCTCCCCCGACATCAGTGCCTGACCTGACAAATGTGCTTCTGGAAGAATGGTCCAACCTTCCCATAGACACCCTCCTAAACCTTGTGGACGGCCTTCCCAGAAGAGTTGAAGCTGTTATAGCTGCAAAGGGCGGGGCCAACTCAATATTGAACCCTACGGACTAAGACTGGGGGGACATTAAAGGTCATGTGTGTGTGGAAAGGGCGGGGCCAACTCAGTATTGAACCCTACGGACTAAGACTGGGGGGCCATTAAAGGTCATGTGTGTGGAGAGGCAGGCGGCCCAATACTTCTGGCAATATAGTGTGTGTATATATATATATAATATATAGACAGATGCAGCACTTTTATTTTTTTATGGAATGATACAAATTAATTGCTGTTACTACTGTATATCGATATCACTTTACTGCCACTGACTACCAGTGCTGAGGGGTACATTTTACTCCCAGTAACCACCAGTGCTGGAGGGGTTTCATTTTACTGGCAGTAACTACCAGTGCTGGGGGGGGGGGGGGTACATTTTACTGCCAGTAACCACCAGTGCTGGGGGAGGGGGGGGTACAACTTATTTTTTTTAATTAAACAAGTAATAGAGAATTCCATCGCGTTTCGGGGGTTGGACTCTCCTCCCTCATCTTGTGAATTCTCAGTTTCTGGCAGCGGCAGAATGTTATTCCATTACTTACAAATATTAATGCAATACAACTGAGTCCAGACACATTGAAATCATATCATATACACACAAGCCCTGATAAAGCCGTGTCTGGACCCCTGAAATGCGTCGGTAAATAATAATTTCATAAGTCATCACTTTGGACTCATTGATCATTTGGGGGGGGTGCTCTTACTGCTTCTTGTATAGTCACTTTCTGTATGGCAGTTGTGGAGGTAATATACTCCGCTCACACAGATATCTACAGGTGGGGAGGGTAGGCATCTGTCATTCCATCAGCTCTATATTAATCAGCTTCACCCCTGCAGTCCTCTATGTGGTGGCTACAAATCAGATGGTTTACATGTCCCCCCCCCCACAGTTCTCAACCAATGCCCAGCAACCTCTTACTGTGAAAGCACACATATATCTGATCAATTCTATATTCTATAAAAAATCTATAAAAAAAATGACAGCTGACCCGCATCCCCCCACCCCCCTTCAGTCTTGCACAGGTGTACCGGCTCCTCCCCTTCAGTCTAGCACAGGTGTACCGGCTCCTCCCCTTCAGTCTAGCACAGGTGTACCGTCTCCTCCCCTTCAGTCTAGCACAGGTGTACTGGCTCCTCCCCTCCAGTCTTGCACAGGTGTACTGGCTCCTCCCCTTCAGTCTAGCACAGGTGTACCGTCTCCTCCCCTTCAGTCTAGCACAGGTGTACTGGCTCCTCCCCTTCAGTCTTGCACAAGTGTACCGGCTCCTCCCTTCAGTCTTGCACAGGTGTACCGGCTCCTCCCCCTTCAGTCTTGTACAGGTGTACCGGCTCCTCCCCTTCAGTCTTGCACAGGTGTACGGCTCCTCCCCTCCAGTCTTGCACAGGTGTACCTGGCTCCTCCCCCTTCAGTCTTGCACAGGTGTACCGGCTCCTCCCCTTCAGTCTTGCACAGGTGTACCGGCTCCTCCCCTTCAGTCTTGTACAGGTGTACCGGCTCCTCCCCTTCAGTCTTGCACAGGTGTACTGGCTCCTCCCCTTCAGTCTTGCACAGGTGTACTGCCTCCTCCCCTTCAGTCTTGCACAGGTGTACCAGTTCCTCTCCTGGACTGAATTGGATTCCTCGGATTTCACCGCACCCTGTGAGCTTCTCACAATGTGTATCAGAAGCTGCTGCAAGTCAGACAGAGCTCTGCCTCACTTTCTGGCTGGAGGACATCCATTATCTAGCCCTTTCCTCCCCAGCCTGACTGTCCCTGGCCCTTTCATTCACTGGATTTCAATTCTTCCACTCATGGAGGCTCAGCATCATATGTTGCCCGTACTACGCAAATGCAGCCTGCCTAGGATCACCCACTACCCCAGACTGACACCCACCCCTATCAGTCATTTTGATATTTGCATATTTCCACTGCCTGCATCAGGGCTGAGGGTTCTTGAGAGGAGTACTGAGGCAGAGAGAGTTTTTGGGAAGCTACGTACAGCCCCTCCCACCAGCCGTGACCCGCCTGCCTTGCATAGAGAAGCACAGAGACTCAGTGATGGGTCTAAAACAAGGAACATAATAAAAAGTGAATCGTTTTATTTAAAAGTTTCATTAGCGTGTGGATGAGGGGGGACCAGGGAAGGCAAAATATAGGCAGATTAAATGTATTATTATTATTATTATACATGATTTATATTATTATTATTATACAGGATTTATGGCGCCAACAGTTTGCTCAGCGCTTTACAATATAAGGGAGACAATACAGCAACAATACAGTTCAATACAAGAGGGATAGGAGGGCCCTGATCCTGGGAGCTTACAATCTAGGAAGGAGGGGCTAGTGGTACAAAAGGTAATAACTGTGGGGGATGGAATGGTTGGAAGAGTAAAAGATTCCATTATTAGCTGAGGGCAGGATAGGCTTCCCTGAAGAGATCGGTTTTCAGAGATCACCTAAAAGTGAGCAGAGTAGGCGATAGTCTGATAAATTGGGGTAGAGAGTTCCAGAGGATGGGGGAAGCTCTGGAGAAGTCCTGGAGATAAGAATAGGAGGGGGAGACAAGGGAGCTAGAGAGCAGGAGGTCGTGGGAGGAGCGGAGAAGACGGTTTGGGTGGTATTTGGAGACAAGATTGGTGATGTAATTTGGGGCGGAGTTATAAATGGTTATATATGTTATTGTTAATGTTTTGAATTTTATCCATTGGGCAATGGGAAGCCAGTGGAGGGATTGGCAGAGATGGGTGGAGGACACTGAGTGGAGGCCAGTGGAGGGATTGGCAGAGAGGGATGGAGGACACTGAGTGGAGGTCAGTGGAGGGATTGGCAGAGAGGGGTGGAGGACACTGAGTGGAGGTCAGTGGAGGGATTGGCAGAGAGGAGTGAAGGACACTGAGTGGAGGCCAGTGGAGAGATTGGCAGAGAGGGGTGGAGGACACTGAGTGGAGGCCAGTGGAGGGATTGGCAGAGAGGGATGGCAGATACAGAACGGTTAGTAAGGTGGTGAGATGAGTCTGGCAGCATCATTCATGCTAGAATGAATGATAAACTTCAGCTTTAAGGGGGTGCCTTACCACCCTGTTACACGCAGAAAGAATCGCACGTAATGGGACAGAGAAGGTGACATTCCAGACAGAGAAGCAGCAATCGGCGAGGAAGAGCACGGTGCTGCATGACCTGGCCTTACGAGCGACTTGTCAACCGCGCCACTTCATCTTTCGCTGCCTCCGGGCTCTGCGCAGACTGGCTCCCTCGCCGCCTATGTTTGCTCACCACGAATGTGCCGCCTCGCCCTATCTGTCAGTTCGGTGTAAAAATAACACGGGGCTGATTGCCCGCTTGTGCGCAATAACATTGATGTATTTTTCTGCCTTCTGCGAAGAGTCTGTGCCAGGAGAGCCTCGGAAAGTGCTGAGCGGGCGGAAAACACCGGCGTGACGAGTCCTGGATTCTGTTTCATGGCTTCTGGAGTTTGGGGACCGGTACCTGTCAGGCGAAATCCTGCCTCGTATATATTCTCAGCACCGCCTGTCAGGGAACGATGTACTTTTAAGTGGCTGGCGGGGGTGATGAGTAAGGGAGGGGGGGTTCGGGGGGGGCTTATCAACGCCAATTTGCAGCGCCGGATGAGACGTTCCGGTATCTCAGAGCTGCGGGTCGTCTAAAACTTTTTTTTTTATTTTTCCAGATTGTTTCATGAAATATTTAATGACAGAACACGTTTTTATTTGTACCTGCTCGTCGCGAGTGATTTGCAGCGAGCCTCACCTCGGGCGCCCGCGGGCTCGTCACATCCGCGCGGCGCGGGGAAGTGAGAAGATAAAGGAATATGCTTTATGAGCGTAATATGCTCGCGATCGAGATTATTTTGCCGAAAATCGCCTCTAACCCCGAGAACAAAAAATAGTTTTAATAAACTTCTCGGAGCGCCGCGTCTTCTCGACGCAGGAAACGGAAAGAAAAAAAAAAGAAATAGGCAATCGTCTAAATAAGAAAAAAATGCAAATATTTATGAGAGAGATGGCGAAAAGTGCAAATGAGGACGCTTAGGGAAGAAAATTAGCGCGGCGCCGATGGAGGTATCTGAGTGAAATCGCTTTTTTTTTTTTGGTAAAATGCGAGAAATGAGCTGGCTGGCGGAGGAATGTAATTCTGTCCGGAGCGGCGATCCTGCAGGAATTAAGGACGTCGTTCGGTAGATTGCTGGAGCTAAATATTTCTTCTCATGAAAGAAATCGTTTTAGAGCGGCGTGAGATGGCGGGCGCTCACACGGGAGAATTGCGGGGAAATGTGTTTTTTGTCCTCAGTATTCCCAGCTCCTCGTGGGGAACGCTGGATGGTTTCCAGCCTTGTAAAGCGAAGAGGAGAGAGAGGTAGATTATCACCTCTTTGGGTCTACAGAGATGGAGCTGTCAGTTTCTTGTACTGTACAAAGCCAGTTCCACGCTAAAGTTTTAATCTCGCCGTACACAACGCAATGTAAAGGTGAACTCCAGGCGGAAAACAAAAACTTTTTCGTTAAATATATTTTTGAATAGCCAGAAAGGATAAAAATCCCTTTGCAAACCCAGATATCACCTTGTAAAAGTAGCAGTGACATCAGCACTGTGCTGTACATAGCCTGTGCAGAGAGCAGAGCTGTGGGAGGGACCCCAGCAGGCCCCACCCAGAAAACTACAGTAGGGGGGCGGAGACATAACCAGTCCCCCTGCACAAAGAGAGAGGGCAGCAGTGAGCGGTCTTTATTATAGGACATCTCACGCTGGATTACTGCCCGATCCTGGAAGAAATACACAAATCGCAACAAGTGGTGTTTTTAGGGTTTGTGCTGCCCTAGGCAACACACGAACCAACACCCCCCCCCTTCCCCCTCCAATGGAGAGAGCCTGGTATTGACCAACAACACCCCTGCCACCCTCCCGGGAGAGCCTTCCCTACTACCCCCCCCCCCCCCCAGCGATAGAGAGGAAGACATTCATCTTCACAGCTCCGGACATCCCGCAGCCTCTCTCGGATCCCACCTGGTTCCCATGGGGTGTGTGTCCCTTCTTCCATCCCTTCTTCTGGGGGAGGTGCTGCCCCCCTGAAAAATGCCGCCCTAGGCAAGTGCCTTGTGGTAAATACGCCCCTGGTCACACCGAGAATCAAGAAGCCACACGATCCTTTAACTCCTTCATGACGGAAGGTAAAACAAATCTTAACGTGTGAACACAATGTTGCAACTTTTGACGTGTTTATAAAACAATATATACAGCCATGGCCAAAAATCTTGCCCCCCCCCGGCATTTCTGCCAGATAACGCACCACTTCGCCCAGAAAATTGTTGCAATTACAAATGTTTCGGCATTCTCATGTTTACTTCTTTTTTTTGTATTGGTATGACACGAAAGAAGTGCAGAAACAAGAAGCCAAATCTTTTTTTTTTTTTTTTTTAATTTTTTTTAATTCATTTTCAAATTTCAACAGAATTTCAAACCACAAAAAAAAAAAAATATAACATTAAAAGTTGCATTCCCCTATTAAACAACACCCCCCCCCCCCCCCCCCAGCATTTCTGTCAGATAACACACCACTTCGCCCAGAAAATTGTTGCAGTGACAAATGTTTCGGCATTCTCATGTTTACTTCTTTTTTTTGTATTGGTATGACATGAAAAAAGTGCAGAAACAAGAAGCCAAATCTTTTTTTTTTTTTAATTAATTTTTTTAATAAGTTTTAAAATTTCAACAAAATTTCAAACCACAAAAAAAATCATCATCACATTAAAAGTTGTATTCCCCTATTAAACCCCCCCCCCCCCAAAAAAAAAAACACTCCCCCCCCGTCTCCCCCCTACCCCCATTTCTTTTTCCTTAGCTCCCCGTTCCTCATGCTTCCCGAGTATCCTCAGGTTCCCTTCTCCTTCTTCCTATCTTACTTTCCTCTTTTAATAATACAGGTCCTCCTGTCTCCTCTTTCTCTATTTCTCCCATATTCATCATATTTATTTGATCTCTTAAATTCATCCCGTCCTACAGCCACATCACCCTGAATGCGCCGATCTCGTCTGACAAAAAGCCAAACTGACACATTCCATGCAAAACCCCCAAAAATGGACCAGAAAAAATGATTGGCACCCTCAATGTAATATTTGCCAGCACACACCTTAGAAGAAATAAGTGAAATCAATGGCTTCCTGTCACCATCAATGAGTTTCTTCCACCTCTCTGCTGGAATTTTGGAGCTCTCTTCTTCTTCCAACTGCTCCAGGTCTCTCAGATGGGAAAGGTTAATTTTCCCAACTGCTGTTCTGAGATCTCTCCACAGGAGATCTATGGGATTGAGATCTGGACTCATTGCTGGCCAGTTCAGTCCTCTCCAGAGCTTCGTCTGAAACCATTTCTAGGGGCTTTTTGACGTGTCCTTTGGGTCATTGTCCTGTTGTAAGACCCATGACTTCTGATGGAGACCCAACTTTCTGACACTGGGCCCTACATTGCCCCCCAGAATTCTTTGGTAGTCTTCAGATTTCATAATGCCATGCAACACGGTCAAGACATCCAGTGCCTGAAGCAGCAAAGCAACCCAAGAACATCAGTGACCACCCCCACCA